CTGACTCCGAGATGACTTGTCCTTGTTTTAGCTCCTTAATGCAGAGCACAGGCCATGGTAACAAGTAGTGCCATCTTTTAATGTCTTTTGGTATGACCCCCGGCCTTCAACTCTCTGGGCAGACGCTCTACCACTAGGCCACTGAGGTGGTCTTCATTCCCAGGCATAAATGTCATATTTTGACCATGTAAATAATTCTGAGGGATAAACGTTATATTTTGATCTCATGTAAATAATTCTGAGGGATAAACGTCATATTTTGATCATGTAAATAATTCTGAGGGATAAATGTCATATTTTGATCATGTAAATAATTCTGAGGGATAAATGTCATATTTTGATCATGTAAAACATTCTGAAGGATAAATGTCATATTTTTATCATGTAAATTATGAGTAGTAGGTGTTATCTGCTCACCAGTCCACATATTATTTCCTCAATACTATTATAGACAATGTTGATGGATATAATAAAGGCAAAAATACACTGGGGGGCGTGGGGTGGGGAAGGTAGTGCTTGGATCATACATTGCATGTGGAGTCATGCACTTTACAAGTGAACTATTATTATTATTTTTCAAGAATGACAAATTTCTTATTTTATCCCCGGAATTGTTATACAAATATTGTTTTAGGCCCTCAGCCATGTGACTGACACAATGAACGGGCAGGCAGGTGGGTTTGCGGGCAAAGACTGAGTGAGTGCCATACTCAGAAAGAATTTCACAATTTGCACCTATGAGGGGAATTGAACCTAGGTTTTTGGCAATACAAGCAAACACTTTAACCACTAGACAACCCTGCCAAGGTGAGCGAAGATGACAACAACAGCTCGCATTAGCCATGTCACGATGTGCCTCTTCCTCTCCTGTATCTGCATGAAGAACCATGTCGAGTCAGCAAGAAAGTGAGGATCTTGCTGACAAAATATTGGACAGAGTGGTCATCCAGTCCCAACTGCATGTCTTTCAGTTATCTAACCGAGGTGAATCAATGATACTTCATCACACCACCACTTTCTGATCTCCACGAGATAAAAATGCACGGAACATCTCTCATAAATATCCTCCTGATTCTCAAAACCGACAAACTCAAATATACTCCTGAGATAAAACGCTTCAATTTAATTATAATGGTCGGTGTGTATCGATCTCAAACAAGAAGGCACCTCCTATCACGTTCAAACAACTTTGTTTCCCGGAGAACAGGCTTTTTCTTGAAAACATTGTGATTGCATCATTCCTGTGGCTATCTTCTGTAGCTCAACGCAGCTTCAGTGACCTTCCATGTTTCATCAGCCGTTTTGTTGCTTGGGGCTTCACAGAAAAGATTGAGTTGGCTGGTGTCAAGGGAATAAAAATCTGAATGAATCTGAATTGTGAAGACCACCACATCATGTTTGCCAGGAATATCATTGCTCTGTGGGTTTGGGGTTTCAGAATTTCAGTAACAAGATTGAGGTCTAATGACCCTTCACAAAATTTGAATACTTCAACTCCAGGGTACCTTTCAATGTCTGCTTCAACCTGTCTCAGTTTGGGCTTTGATCCCACAGAAACGTGATGCTTTCATTGTAACATAATATTTGGAACACTTTTCAGCAACAACCCTCGTTTACTCACTTGCTACGGACGCACGCACGCATGCACGCACGCACGCACGCACGCACGCACACACACACACACACACCCTCACTTGTTACACACACACCAGACTCACTACACACACACCAGACTCACTACACACACACCAGACTCACTACACACACACCAGACACACTACACACACACCAGACACACTACACACACACCAGACTCACTACACACACACCAGACACACTACACACACACCACACACACACCAGACACACTACACACACACCAGACTCACTACACACACACCAGACTCACTACACACACACCAGACACACTACACACACACCAGACTCACTACACACACACCAGACACACTACACACACACCAGACACACTACACACACACCAGACTCACTACACACACACCAGACACACTACACACACACCAGACACACTACACACACACCAGACTCACTACACACACACCAGACACACTACACACACACCAGACACACTACACACACACTAACTACACACACACCAGACACACTAACTACACACACACCAGACACACTACACACACACCAGACTCACTACACACACACCAGACACACTACACACACACACACACAGATCCATACACACAAACACATACACAGGGACACAAACCTCACTTACTTGTTACACCAACAGGCACACCTACACAGTTAAACCCCACACCCAACATCCCCCACTACACACACTAACCACACACCCATACACAGTTAAACCCCACACTAACCACACACACACTACACACAGTTAAACCACACACTAACCACACACACTACACACACACAGAGTTAAACCCCACATCCCCCACTACACACACTAACCACACACTACACACACACAGTTAAACCACACACTAACCACACACACACTACACACACACAGAGTTAAACCCCACATCCCCCACTACACACACTAACCACACACACACATACCCATACACAGTTAAACCCCACACTAACCACACACAAACTACACACAGTTAAACCCCACACTAACGACACACACTAACTACACACACACAGAGTTAAACCCCACACTCCACACTAACCACACACAGAGTTAAACCCCACATCCCCCCCACACACACACAAACCACACACACAAACCACACACACACACACACTCAAACACTCACACACACTCAAACACTCACACAGCCTTGTAGTTTGATAGTTTCAAACTCACCAGGGACAACTTTGTAGATCGATCTCCACACTCGTGCATTCACACAAATGAAATGGGCCATTACTGTCCCAGCAATTATGAAAAGCAAGATATCACTGTGCAACTACGAGCCACAAAACTGGCAAGGGAATAAATCTCTTTTATTTTTAGATTTAATAGAAGTACAAAACCCATGTCTAGTCAGCAGAAATCAATAAACAGCTGCAAATACAATCTGAAGAAAGGTTTTGTCTCTTTCTTGAAGATGTAAACAGTTGCAGGGAAAGCCTAAGCTACATTTGCACATGAGTGAGTGAGTGAGTGTTTACATGACAAAAAACAATAGAATTTCAGTGAATGATTGAGTAAATTGAGCATACTGCCACTAACGACAGTATTACAGCCACATTAAAGCATACTAGCTTATGCAGGAGAAAGCAACAATGAGATTCACATGATACCATGAGTGAGCGAGTGAGCGAGTGAGTGAGTGAGTGAGTATGGTTTTACGCCGCTTTTAGCACCAGTAATGGGCTTCACACATTGTACCCATGTCGGGATTCGAATCCGGGTCTTCGACGTGACGAGCGAACGCTTTAACCACAAGGCTTCCCGACCGCCACCATGATACTATGAAGGAAATGAAGCCTGAGTGTTGGTGAACAACACTACAACAACAAAGCTACCCAACTCCGTTCATGGCCAAATAGCCAGTGCGGCAAGCCCAATTCTTCCTTGTTTACTTCCTTGTTTACTTCCTGCCGATATTATCGTCTCCGATACAAAAGCCGGATTGACATTTCCTTCAATTTATCATGTTCCGTGGCAGAATATCATGTTGTGTGTGGTCAAATACACATCCACATGTAGCAAAATGTTGCAGTTGTGACTGAGCAACGTCACACGCTGTTGGGGTATGATGACATGCAATCAACCAAGGACACAAGACCCAGTCAAAGGATATATTTGCCCCTTATGACAAGTATTGGCTGCTGGGGACCAATTCTAGTCAGAATCCCCACGGGGTTAGAGATGGTGAAGGTGGGGTTCAGTCAAAACATACTAATAATAATACAAATACTAATACTAATAACAGACTCACACTTAGTCAATGAAAACATGTCTTTGAAATGATAAAACTATTTTTTTCGAAAGAACCTTTCATGTGGAATGAAGCAAACTAGACTTGGTTAATTTGATCTAGACTTGCCTAGGCTTTCAGTAAAAACAAACAACTAAAAATATAAACTCCACAGTCATGGTGCAGGACTAATAACAATAAATGCATACTTATTTTGCCCTACAACATCCCCATGGAACAAGAGTGAGTGAGTAAGTTGTGTTTAACGCCACTTTTAACAGTATTCCAGTTATATCGCGGCGTGTCAGCTTAATGTAGGAGAAAAGCCCAAAGTGATGCAGGTCTCAGATGTTTACCACTTCGTTTAAACCCACGAGCACTGGTATGGTGCTGACAAACCTAGAAACATAATCGGGGCAAACCGGGATTTGAACCCACAATCATAGGTTTCTGGCGTGTCCAAGGGACGCAATTCTGCACAGCGAAACGCGGTGCCTTAGAACACTTGGCCACCCATTGGTCAGGCTATACCATACAACAAACTTATCTTGCCAACATGTCTTAATCTACCATTGTAAAAGAATTAAAACAAATTTAAAATTGATAGAAAACAGGTGTTTGATTGAACTGAGGATAACTTGCGCTGTTTTGTGTCACTTTCATCATTTCACAAACAAAGTTTAGTTTTTTGCAAGATATCGGAGTATAAGGGATTTATTCCTCTCCTCAGAAATCCATGTGCAGCCTGCTTTCTTCATGGCGGGGTATAAGGGATTTATTCTCCCACTTAGAAATATATTTCCCTCCCAGGCAGGATACATAGCATTTTATCAAGATCACGTGACCCAATTAGATCTCAACACTCTGACATGAAGGGTATATAATGTCCTTAACATGTACCAGTGGAAACTGAACCACCTGTGTCAATGGTAGGATAAATGCTTCAAACACGGTATTTGTTTAAGTAATGAGTTGGAGGAGAGCAGTTCCAGAATGGAATGTGATTGCAAGTCCACAAAACATTTACCATATTGTCAACATTTTTTCCACTTCTGTGACAATTTCAAAAACCTATAAGCTACCGATGTATGAATGATTGAAACATACCTATTTTATTGCTCTTGTCCGTCTTTGCGAGAAGTTTCTGTGCTTGCTTTACTTCACGGTCGGCGGAGTCATCGGAGCTGTTTTTGGAGCTATGCTTACTCCTTCCGCAGCCCATGGTAGGCTCGGGTAGCAACCACATGGAGGCAGCAGTGTCGCCCCCTGGTGGCAGCACAAACGCTCGCTCTACTCAACAGTCTGCAAAACAACGATATAGCAATATATTTTGCTCTAAACATTTTATTTCAGGAAAGCAAGTGGATTGTCATCAGGCACATTTTGGGGATAAACAGTACATGTTTTCAGATTTGCCGGTTTCACCGAGTATTTGACGCCCGGATATTTCTTTTTGAACTGTCAGTGCTGGCTAGCTAAGAAATCCACTAAAAAATTAAAAGTCAGTTTTGTTCTTGAAGATTTGTTACTCTCATACATAGCAGACAATTCAGGAGGGAACCAAGTGGTCAAACCCTACCAGGTGTACTGATGCTGACATTCATTCAGAGATCTACCTGATGCTGATGTTCATTCAGAGATCTACCTGAAGCTGATGTTCAATCAGAGATCTACCTGAGGCTGATGTTCAATCAGAGATCTACCTGATGCTGATGTTCATTCAGAGATCTACCTGAAGCTGATGTTCAATCAGAGATCTACCTGAAGCTGATGTTCAATCAGAGATCTACCTGAGGCTGATGTTCAATCAGAGATCTACCATACTGATGTTATACCTAATGCTGATGTTCAATCAGAGATCTACCTGAGGCTGATGTTAAATCAGAGACCTACCTGAGGCTGATGTTCTGTTCGAATAGAGATCAACCTGAGATCTACCTGTTTCATACTCACAGGTAGAATAAAATCTGCACCAACCCAATCACGTTGTGTAATCCTTAAGGCAAATGTAGTTATTTCTGGTTTGATCTAACCACTCCTTCAAATGTAAAAATAACTAATTATAATCTCTAGTTTCCTGAAGAGAGACCGAGACCTAGAGCACGTCCTTGCAGGAGATAAACACTGTACAGGGAGATAAACACTGTACAGGGAGATAAACACTGTACAGGGAGATAAACACTGTACAGGGAGATAAACACTGTACAGGGAGATAAACACTGTACAGGGAGATAAACACTGTACAGGGAGATAAACACTGTACAGGGAGATAAACACTGTACAGGGAGATTAACTGGGCTAATTCAGGACCAACTTACATGTACAATAAGGTCATTAGGTGGAGGAGTGAATGTTGGTTTATGCCACAGCCAGCAATATTATGGCAGCCATAAGTAATCAGGTGTGGTTAAGTCAAAAATTGGTTCTCTACAGAGCAATGATCTCTGCAGCCAATGAGGTGAGTGAGTGAGTGAGTGAGTGAGTATGGTTTTACGCCGCTTTTAGCAATATTCCAGCAATATCACGGCGGGGGACACCAGAAATGGGCTTCACACATTGTACCCATGTCGGGAATCGAACCCGGGAATCAAACCCGGGTCTCCGGCGTGGCGTGCCAACGCTCTAACCACTAGGCTACCCGACCGCCCCTCAGCCAATGAGGAGATGACAAACAAGTTACATTGTTCCACCTTGTAGCCATCCAATCCTCCTTGGAACTTATGACAGATATGGGATACTAGGGTTCTATTGCCCTGGAGTCCCAGTTGGGATCAGTAGTAATTAGAGAGTATTGCAGGGAAGGAGGTTGTTTCAGTGAGTGAGTATTGTTTTACGCCACTTTAAGCAATATTCCAGCAATATCAAGGCAGAGACACCAGAAATGGGCTTCACACAATGTACCCATGTGGGGAATTGAACCCGGCTCTTCGGCGTGATAGGATAGCACATTAACCACTAGGCTATCCCGATGCCCCAAACTGTTTCAGTGGAGGTAAATATACATTATTGGACAAGTATTCTTACAGTAATCTGTGGACCCACATGGCACATAAGCCTACATAACAATCTTGTTTTGTCTATCCCTCTGACACTAAAATTAGATGTAGAGATAATTCACTGATAATACAAACAACAGGGAAGTGACAGGGAAGTGAACTGTTCTTCAAATGTAGTTTGTTTACTGTTTAACGTTGCACTGAGCAATATTCCAGCTATATGATGATGGTCAGTCAGCAATCAAGGTTGGACCAAATAACCCAGAGATTGACATGAGGACTGATCCACACAGTTGGGATACAATGACATTCATCAACCCAGTCAGCAAGACTGATGACCTGATCTGTTAGTCGCCTCTAACGAACAAGCATAGGTTTGGGGGGACCTCTGTTTTCACCTGGAATCTCCAAGTATCCATTTAAACCTTAACATTGTCTTCATCTCTTTCATGATAAAATCAGTTTTTAAAAAAACTTCATTGCTATCACATTCTTGTACTTTTTGGATTACCTTAGCCAAGATACAGGAGGTGGTGAGGTGAGTGAGTGAGTGAGTTGGGTTTAACGCCGCTTTTAACAGTATTCCAGCGGCGTGTCAGCTTAATGTTGGAGGAAAGCCTGAATTGATGCAGGTCTCAGACATTTACCACTTCCGTGAAACCCACGAGCACGGTTATGGTGCTGACAAGCCTAGAAACATAATCGGGGCGAACCAGGATTTGAACCCACAATCCTAGGTTTCTGGCGTGCCCAAGGGACAACTCTGTACAGCGAATCGCTGTGAGTGTGTGGGTGTCTGTGGCTGCTTGTACTAGTCCAGACTGATGCCAGTTTTATAGTGCTAGCCCACTGAGATACCATGCCGCAGGTTAACACGAATATTCCACTCAAACACAGAATACTGACTCCAAGCTGACCAGTCCTTGTTTTAGCCCTTAATGCCGAGCGCCAGACAGGGTAACAACAAGCATCATCTTTTGATGTCTTTTGGTATGATGCAGCTGGGGATCAAACCCCCGACCTTCCGCTCTCCGGGCAGAGCACGGAGGCAGTCCCAAGATGCAGGAGACTGAAAGACGCTTTGTGTCAGAGATTATTTCAAAAAGTTATTATTTCATCATAAGAAAACTTGAAATGAAATACCAACAAGAATGTTTGTTGGTTTTTATAAGGTTGGAAATCCGGGTTCAGGAACATCTATCCAGAAAAAAATAGGTATAGAAGCTAAAATCCAAAAATAGCAAGAACCCTTCCACTACATCCATACATGGTTTGTTTGTTTGTGATACTGCAATGTTCCTGACATATGCTTATAATAATCGAGTCTTGCCAGACAAGCCAATGGTTGATATTGTAAGCAGCATCTTACACTGTCTGCATGGGTATAATGACACGCAATCAACCAAGCCTGACCACCCGATCCATGATGTCACCACTTACGACCAGCATAGGTTAATGGGGACCTGTTCAACCCAGAATTACTAAATTCAATTTCAACAGAATCCTCATATGTCAGGATTTTTTCACAGTTGAAATCTGGAGATCAGTGCTTACCAATCAGCAGTATCATTAAGATGGCCACAAACTTAGCAGCATCATAAAGACGGCCACAAACTTAGCAGCACCATAAAGACGGCCACAAACTTAGCAGCAGCATAAAGACGGCCACAAACTTAGCAGCACCATAAAGACGGCCACAAACTTAGCAGCACCATAAAGACGGCCACAAACTTAGCAGCACCATAAAGACGGCCACAAACTTAGCAGCAGCATAAAGACGGCCACAAACTTAGCAGCACCATAAAGACGGCCACAAACTTAGCAGGATTACAAAGACGTCCACAAACTTAGCAGTATGAAAAAGACCTTACTGGAGTCGGAAACATTTGCATGATGTCGGAAACCCTTGTGAAGATTCCGCAATCGCCTTTAATGAAAATCTTGAGTACCTCGTTACGGCTTTAGCTCTGTCTTGTGCATGAGATATCTATTTGGTTAATGCATTCAGTTAATGCATTCAGTTTCTTAAGTTGTCATTAAGTGAAACTAATGGCCCTGGCTCACGCAATCCCCCAATATTATATTGAAAATTGTGTTTTAGATTCGTTATAATGTGATGACATAATGAAGGTTGTGTCATTATCCTAAAAAGAAGAAGATTTCTTTTTATCAACCCAGTTAGTAAAGTGATATTTGTCTCTGAATATAATATTCAGTGGAATCTGTCAAAACAGGACTGACTAATCCAGACCTCGGTCAATACCGCCCTAAATTTATGATCCCAAATTTACTGTGTTAATTTATCATCAAGTAAAATCTCTCCAACCGAACTTCCTCTGGAACAAAGGACCAAATTATCATGTAAATGATGCTCCCTAACCCTGATTATATTTTCACCCATCTCACTGGCACAATCCATTAAAGCTCAACACAACTAGCCTGGCTGAGCACTTAGTTTCAACCCTGTTTTCACCTTCGAAGCTTTCTCCAATTTAGGAATTAAGTTTTCACAAAACATTTGTTAAAAATTATGGATTATGAGTTGAATCAAAGGCTTGCAAGGGTATTTCTTTAAATTAATGTGGAAACATCACTGCCACAGGAAGAGCAGTGGAAGCAGCTCCTAGTAACATCTCACTATTACAGACCTTGGTCTACACCAGGATAAACTTTAGGCGCCACTCAAGTCCAGTTTGGACAGATTCTGCAGTATTTATATCACTACCATATTTTCTTGTGGATCGTATGCACTTCAGCATAACGTGCTTCCTCCATTCTTGAGAAGAAGTTTCTGGGAAAACTGCTATGCTGTGTATTGTTCAGTGTCAAAAACTTCATTGTATCACTACAGGTGAAATGACAGGAGATAAAAGACCTAATCAATGAAAGTGAAATTTGCAACAAACTAGACATGATGATTTACCATTTCAATTGTATTTCCTGTTATGCATGGCATTGTTTTACTTGCAGAGACTAAGATGTATTTGTTTTATATGCTAATCCAGAAATTATCAGGAATAAGCTGTGCACAAAAATAACACATATGTAACTTAGAAGAAGTTTGATGCAATCATAATGATCGGAAGAAACTGTATCTGTTTGTTTGTTTTTGACATCTCACTCAACAATATTCCAGCTATATGACAACGGTCTGTAAAGAATCGAGTCTGGACCAGACAATCCAGTGATTGACATCATCAGCATCGATCTATGCAATTGGGATACAATGACATGCATCAACCAAGTCATTGAGCCTGACCACACGATCATAGTCGCCCTTTTACGGCAAGCATGGGTTGCCGAAGA